AAAGAGTGTGAAGGTCTTACCCAGGGATGCTACAAGTGCAAAGTTTTCCAGCATCACATTGCAGTACAGGAGTCTCTGAGCCTCATCAAGGAGCCCCCACTCCTCCTGGGAGAAGTCAATGGCCACATCCTCAAATTTCATACCCTGTCATAATGGAGACAGTTCATTCCACCATCAGCTTCTCTCCTACGATTCCAAGTTCATCATGCCACGTTCCCCCACTCCCCCCACCCCCCACCCCAATCTATCCTCTGCTCACTCTACTCTCCACCTCAGAGGAGATACCAGACCTTGGTGCCATTAGAATCACTCTCTCCTTATATTCCCACTGATTCTGTGTCTTCCCACATCAATAGGCAGATGAGCAGATAGGTGACATCTGACCTCTGGGTCTTGCATGTAGGCCACATTGCCTCTTGTCAATAAGGTGGGTGTCACAAACATAGGTTAGGGAGAGACACTGGCCACAGGGAGGGTGTGAGTGATCTGACACTGGTCTTTCCTTCACCCTTATGACCCCAACAACAGGGTTCTAGGGACATTAGTTCACATTACCTCTTCACATGCACATCTTTCTTTGAACCACACTTCACTCTCACAGCTGCATTCCCGCAGGGACAACTTCAAAGGTCACACAGCCTTGCCATGATGGGGATAGTTCATTTCATGACCAGCTTTCCCCTTAGGACCCTAATTTCACCACCTCTCCAATCTATCAGTTGCTTACCCCTCTCCCTTCCCCACCTCAGTGAAGATTTCCAAGCTCAGGTGGCACTGATACCCATTGTCTCATCATGGTCCTAATGATCACTGTATCAGCCCTCAATAACAGGCAGGTGGGTAGACAGATGTCATCTAAGCTCTGGACCTACCATATAAAGCCACAACACCCCATTCTTCTCAGGCAATTCCGCTGGGGTTCCCCACATCATTTCTCCCAGACACCACCAATCTTGGGCTCATGCTTGACACTTATGCCAACACCAGGGCCCTGGAACCATGAGTTCACACTCCCTCTCCATGTGCACATCACTCTTT